AGATAAAGCTCACTGGTACAGTTCTTGCCTAACAGGCAAAACACCCTGGGTTCCATCCCCAGTACCACAAAAAACAAATAATACATTTGGAATGTAGTTTGTTTTCTCAGTTGGACTGATACAAAACACCTGCTTCTCTTAGTTTTCAGTTGTGCTCTGTGTTCCTCCAAGCTTGGTATCCAAGCTTTCTCAGTCTTTGCTGATTTTTTACCTATTTGTTTATTTGAGATAGGGTCTTAATCTGTAGCCCAGACTGGCCTTTAGCTTGCAGTGATACTCCTACCTCAGCCTCAGGAGTGCTGGGATTACAGGCATGTGCCACCACATCTAGCTTGATTTCTCAATTCCTGCCCCAGGACTCAATTCTTGAACATATTCTTGTTGCTACATATACTGTATTTTTGTTTTTGTCAGTCTGAGCCTATATAGCAGGGAGGGCAAAGCTTTTAGAGCTTTCAATGATACAAACAGCTGGCTGTGGCACATGTGCCATAAGTTTGCCATCATTGCTATGTAGAATAACATCTATATACTGACAACTCTTGAATTTATATTTGTACCTAGACCTCCTCAGTTGAGCTCCAGACTGCACATCCAACTGCCTGATAGCTCTACTTAGATAGCCATAGGTATTTCAATATAACATGACCCAAATAGAGCTGAGCTTTGCCTTCAAATGCTGCTCTTCCTCATCTCAGTAAATAGCACTTCACCCAGTTATTCTAGCCATGATTGAGGAGCTACCCTGATTTCCCTCTTCCCTCACCTCCCATATACCATCAGCGAGTTCTGGTCACAAAACCATGCAGACACATCTCAAATCTGCTGGCCTTTCTTCCTTCAAATTTCCCTTTACTCTCCTGACCTAACCATTCCCTCTCACATGGATTACTGCTACAAGTCTCCTTGCTTCCATCTTTCATCCAGCAAAAAGCCATTCTTCATGCAGCCACTGGAAGGACTTTATGATATTAATCACATCCTGTTACTCCTCTGCTTTGCAGCCTCCAATAGTTATGCTCCTACTTTTAAGATCCCACATTCATATTCAGATCTGCAAGGCCCTGGGTGGCTTGTTCTTCTGACTTCACATTACATTACTTACTTTTACTCACTACAGTCAGTTTCTCTGGTCTTCCTTCTGTTCCTCCAATAGGCTAAGTTTCTCCCTGGTTTGGCCTTTGTACTTTGTAATACCATCAGCTGAAATAGTTTCCCCCTGTTCTTTATGTGGCTGGCCCACTCAGATTCTTCAGGTACTACATTTCTTAAATGGTCTCCCTCAGAGTACATTCCTGATTACCCATTATTCTCTAACGCATTATGCCACACTTTTTTTTTTTTTTTTTTGTACCAGGATTGAACTCACAACCATGCGCTTGCAAGGCAGGCACTTATGCCACTGAGCTAAATCTCTGGCCTATGCCACACTATTTTAACTGCTGTATTTCTCCTTTAGTTTTTTTATCTAGCACCCTTGCCCTCAAATTGTAAGCTGCTTTGTTCACTGTGTCCCCAGCTCCTAGTGCAATATCTGGCACACAGCAGTTACTCAATATATACTAGCTAAATTACTAACGTGTAGTAGACTAAACTTGAGCAAGAAGAGAGAAATCTCCCTCGAGACAAAATGACAGAACCAAATGGAAACAACTAAATATACCTCTAAATTCTTGGTACTCTGGAAAGTGAGATCATCTACTGAGAAAGGCTTTCAGGGAAAGGCTCGAAGAAAATGGCTCCAAATTGTTCGAGGGAAACAGGCCAGAAGGCCAAAATATAGTAGAAGAACTGAGTAGCTGAGAACCATCTGACACTGGAATCATAAATTCAATGTGTCATATATCTACTCATTTACAAGACAATGTCCACAAAATTATTTGGGTTAAAAGATCAGAAAACGGATTGATTATAGGACAGGACTACCTTTCTTTCTTTCTTTCTTTTTGAGACAGCGTCTGGCTACACAGGTCAGGTTGGTCTGTTGGCCTTGAACTATGTAGTCCAGGGTAGCCTTGAATGTGCAACAATTCTCCTGACTCAGCCTAAGTGCTGGAATTACAGGTATGCGCAACCATACCAGCTTTGTAGGGCTGATTCTAAATTGAGAGTTTGAGAGGATGGGTATTATAGCAGTAAAAGGAAGTTAAGATTCATAACACAAGAAAAAATGAAGTACCCATATATAAATTTAAACAAAACATCTGCAGGACGTATACCCTGCAAACACTGTACCTATCAAAACATTGATGATGAAAGAAATCAAAGATCCAAATAAAAGACATCACATTCACAGGTCAGAAGACTCAATATCATTAAGCTGTCAATTTCTCCACTGTCATTACTGGAATACTGGGTCATGTCTCATAGTAATGAAGGAGGATGGAGGAGGCAGGTTTAAGCAAATTTATTTAAAATATATAAAGGGGGGCTGGGGATTTAGCTCAGCGGCATAAGCGCCTTGCCTTGCAAGTGTGTGGTCATGAGTTCGATCCTTGGTACCGATAAAAAAAGAAAAAGACCAAAAAAATAAAAATATATATATAAAGGAAAGGAAGTAAAGCCCCCATTAACCAGGAGGAAGTTCCGAGTAGGATACCCATGAGGGCTCATTGTCTAGGGATTTAAAAGGCCAATTGGACTGCTGTGTATGCAATATAATCTCTTCCCTAAGGAAGACAACACATTTTTTAGGGCCAAACAGCCTGTCATGCTCTGGGGAGGACTCAGACAGCTGGTGGTCACTTGATGTTTTCCTAAGATCCCTGGAGGGTGAATACTCAGCAGACTCTAGTTTAGAGCTTTTTGATTCCATATAGGGGCTGCTGTCCTTACTGCCTAATAAAATTTCAACTTTTCATTAACTTTTGTCGCAATGTGACCTTTAGATTTTACACAATACTAATCAAAATGTCAGAAATATTGAACATACCAAACTAATTTGTAAAATCTATATGGAAAATCAAAAAACAACAACAAAAAACCCCAGAACAGACAAAATTAACTCAAAAAAGAGCAAAGTTGGAAAAATCATACTACTTGATAACAAAACGTTAATTATAAAACTACAATAATCAAATTACGACACTATGTAATAGTTAGATATTATGGGTGGGTATATGGCAGTAGTCCTAGCTACTTAGGAGGTTGAGGCTGGAGGGTCACTTGAGTCCAGAAGTTTGAGGCCAGACTTGGCAATATAACTAGACTCCTTATCCTAATAAAAAAATATAAAAAGGGTTAAGGATGTAACTCAGTGGTAGAGCACATGGTTAGCATGAGTGAGGCCCTGGGTTTGATCTCCAGCACCATGAAAAAAATAGACACAGTGTATTGGTGAAAGAACAGGCAATAGAATAGAAAGTCCAAAATTACAATCAACAGCTTTTTTTTCAGTATTAGTGATTGCTATAGTCAGGGGTTGTGAGGAGAACAATTAGAATCAGGACACAGAATTTGTAGTATTATTTATGATGGTCACCCAAAGTTAACACAAGAAAGTGCAAGAAATCTGTCCATAACACTAAAAACCCAGAATATTCAGCCAAGGGCCTGGATCTCACAAGTAGTGTCTTGCATGAGTCCAGATGAAGACCGAGAGCCCATGACAATGCCTCCCACAAGTCCAACTGGAGGTTTAGCGGCCATGAGAAGGACTCATGCCAGTCTGTTTTATAGATCTGTACTGGGAAGACCCAAAGGTCAGCGGTAGAAGCTATGCCAGCAGGGTGAAGGAGCTGTGCTGGTAGGTTGAGGGTTCTACACTGGAGCTGAGAAGTCATGCTCAAAACAAAAACCAGGGCTGCCCTGAAAAGTACCACAGCCATCCTCAGTGACATGGAGGTCCTGAGCTCCTCTGACGATAAGAACAGTCAAGTACATGCCAGGAAGCCAGCATGACAAGATTCTCCTGGAGATTAAACAGCATACATCTTCCCCTCTAGAGCCAGGAAGTGATGCTTGATGTAAGGACCAGAGCTCCTCCAAAGTGAACCACAGCCACTCTCACCAGCAAGGTCCCAAGCTCCTCCGCTAACAGTGGTCAAACTCACATTGGAGAAACCAGTCATGATAAGTTCCTCCAGGAGAAGGGCTCAAAACAGTAACACTTAGAGAAACCCACAATGCTTCATCTTCTCCATGTCTCTATTTAGTATTAAAATATTTATATAATAAATTGGGTATTAAAATATTTATACATTTTTTCTTTTCCTAAAGTGTGTATCTTTTTTTTGGTGGATTCTGTATATAGCAAGAACCTATAGAAAGATAGTTAAATAAATGGGTGGAAGATCTTAAGAGGTATTGTACTAAATAAGATAGACAAATGGAAAATTTGCATATAAGATGTTCATAGTAACAAAAATTAAGTAAGTTGTTATAGTGTACATCTGGATGGGCTAAGTGGGAGGCTTTGGGGAGATGATTGGTTTATGGGGGCATAATATCTAATTGTGATGTTGGGAGGTAAAGCCTGGTTGGAGAAGGTGGGTCACTGGGGGTGTGGCCTGGAAGGGTCTATCTCCCTCCCTCCTCTCTTGATCTCTGCTCTGTTTCTGCCTGCCATGCCATGAGTTGTTTGTCCTGTGGCATGTCGTTCTGCCTTGGAGCTAACCAACTATGTACTAAAATCTTTACAAACTGTAAGCCAAATAAAAACTTCCTCTTTTAAACTGAGGGTGCTGGCATTGTGTCCTAGTGACAAGAAACAAGCCAATTAAAAATGGGCAAAGGACTTAGACATTTCTCTAAAGATGATCTACAAATGGCTAATAAGCATATGAAAAGATGTTCAATATCACTAACCATTAGAGAAATGCAAATAAAAAGCACAAGATAGTACCTCATACCCATCAAAAGGGTTGAAATCAGTATCGATGGGGATATAGAGAAAATGGAACACTTTTTCATTGTAGTTAAGATTATAAAATGTACAACTGCTGTGGATCTTACTTATAATTTCAAATATAATTCATGCCACTTTTCTCTATGACACGTCATAATTTTTTAAGTCTAAACATTTTATTAATTTTGAAGAATGAATAACAGCCATTTCAGAAACCAGAGACGCTCAAGCATTGATCTGTTCAGTTTCCACACAGCCAAAGTTTACATCAAATGGACAAAAAACAGTATAGAAAATCTATATACAGAAAGATATAGAACAATCTATTTCATAGAAAGCAGGTCAAAGACCTAAATGAATGTAGGAGAACCAATGAGAAGCAACATAGAGCCTTCTTCTGGGGCATAAATATAAACCAGTCCACATAAACAAGAAATTATTTTTCTTTTTTTTTTTTCCTTTTTATCGGTACCAGGGATCGAACTCATGACTGCCCGCTTTGCAAGGCAGGCGCTTATGCCGCTGAGCTCAATCCCCAGCCCCCTTATTTTTCTTCTTGGTCTAAATGCTTGCCTCTGGTCCGGGCTCACAGCAAAGTCCTTTCATTTGAACTGGTTGTCAATCAGAGTTCCCTTCATTTTTGCTTTCTTGGCTTCCAGTTCAGCCTGGGGGAAAAGCAACATATTCTCTGATACATCAAATGAAATTCTTATGTCTCTCCTCAAGCACTCTTTAGTGTATAAACTAGAAATGGTTCTAAAATCCTTAAGCATCTTTAGCAACTGGTCTCCAACTTTTCTGATGTTATATATAGCATACAAAGAAAATATCTATAGGTCAAATATATTCATAGGTAAATGTACAAGGTTGTCATGCAAGACAACTAAGGCAGGGATAGTGGGAGCACTTCCAGAGGGTTGAGGAAACCAGTATTATGGCATACCAGTTATTCTTGAAAGAACAGGAAAAACACCCTTCCAGAACAGTGCTACTTAAAATTGTGTGCTCCCTGATCAGTCCATGTAACATATATACAAAAATTGAAAGCAAATATTTAAAAAACTTGTATAACAATGAGCAGGTAATAAATTAAATTGGTACATACCAATACACCCAGCTACACAGGATGCTGAGGCAGGATCATTCTGGGCCGGCCTGGGAAACTTAGGGAGATAATGTCTCAAAATAAAAATTTTAAAAATGGGCTAGGGATGTAGCTCAGTGGTAGAGCATGCTTGGATTCAATCTCCAAGGCAAATATAAAATTAAATAAAAAAAATTTAAAAAGATGAGGATGTAGCTCAATGGCAGAGCACTTGCCTAACATGTACATGCCTCTGGGTTCAGTTTCTAGAATTTACCCTTTTTTTTTTGGTCTTTTTTGAGACAGGGTCTCGCTATGCAGTTCAGGATGGCCTTGAGCTCACTTTGTAGCCCAGGCTGGTCTCGAAATTGCAAGGATCCTCCTGCCTCAGCCTCCCGAGTGCTGGGATTACAGGTGTGAGCCACCATGCCTGGCTCAGTTTCTAGAATTTAAAAAAAAAACAGTTGAGGCCAATTCGTTTTTTACAATTTAAAAATATACAAATTACAAAATAAAGTAAAAAAAAAAAAGAAAGCATTCATCTTTCATCTTAGAAAACTTGAGAAAAGTCTCAGCCTCATAAGTGTTGGAATTATAGGCAAGGGCTATTTAACAAGTGTTCTCATTTATAGCCTAGATCTTGTACTCAGAGTTCATCCTCAGCAGATTTCTTAAAGGCTTTCCCTGCAGGATGATTGTCCAGAGCAAGAAATCCAAATAGTATAGCTCAGCATCTACCATGCCACTCACCAGCTCTTGAAGTCGCCTCTTGCTCATGCCTTTACGCTCCAGCTGCTTTTCAATCACTTTGGCATTCTGGGCATACGAATCAGCAACTTCTCTCTAAAGGAAAAAGCAGCATCCTTAAGCTAGTACTCTCACTAAGAAATCTGAACAAAGGCCACGATAGCAATTTATGTTATTCAAGTCACAAAGTTGTTATCGAAATGGCAATACTCTGTTCCTTTTCAGCCCTTCATCTTTCAATAATCCAGGAGAGTTCAGGTTTCAAGCAAAATCATTTTTAAAATTACAGACCACATATCTTGGGTTTTGTTTTTTTGTTGTTTTAGTTCTGGTACCGGGGACTGAGCCCAGGACCTTTGCACTGAGCTACATCCTTAACCTTTTTCATTTTTTTGAGACTGGGTTTCAGTAAGTCAGTAAGTGGCCCAGGCTGGGCTTGAATTTGCCATCCTTTTGCCTGAGCCTGCCAGAGTGCTGGGATTACAGGCACACACCACCATTTGTGGCTACTAGTCACATCTCTCGATAAACATCTCTCTTCCTACTGAAGAACCAGAAAGGTACTTGTTGCTGCTGCTAAGGACAGACTCACAAACCATCAGAGCCGGACTGGAAGAAGACCTAAGTCCTTAGTTCAGAGAGTTGACAATTTACTTTGTTTGGTTTTGGTTTATGTACAGTGCTGGAGCTTGAATCCAGGGCCTTGCACATGCTAGGCAAGTACTCTACCTCTGACATACACCTCCAGATGACATAGGAGTTTTTAAATTGAAAATATGAGCTGGATCCAACTCCCTTATTTTCATTTTATAGCTGTTCCTGAGACCCAGGGAAGAAGGCACTAGCCTGGTGTCACGCAGCTTCTTCCTAGTACAGCAGGGGATCTCTTTTAAATTATTTACGGGAACAGATTATATAATGCAAGATGTAAGGAACAGATACTCTGAGGAAGAGACGCTGAGAAACCCGAGGCTTATTTTGTAGCATTATAATATAAATTCTAGCAATCTATTGTTCGCTGATTAGAATGACACTGGACTGGTTTCTTGAGTTCAACTTCAGCATATGCAGAGATGGGGACGGCTATCACAAAGAGAATGAGAGATGCGATGGTAGTTACTATTGTCTTCCCTAATTTGGAACTTGAGGACCTAAAAAGACTTCATCATCCCGTAATGATTTGATTAGTTCTATAATATGCAATAAGTATATAAAGTGGGTGAAGATAGGGACAACTATTTGTAAGAAACTAGAGACAGTTAGATAATGAAGATCTCCAGTGGACTTGCTTTGAAATCTGTATTTCTTTAAATTGTTTTTTTTTTTAATGTTCTGTTCCGTTTTGATATGTTTAATCTTACCCTCTTTGATATGTAAAACAAATGTGCAGGACTGATAATCATATTACTGAGCTTTTGTTCGATCATAGAGCAGAATGGTCTGTAGAGTCACTTTTTGAATGTCATTCTAAATACTTTAATTCTATAACCTGAACAGCTATTTCTAAGATGACAATGTGTAACTTATCAACTGGCAATTTTTTACCTTTTGTTTGTCTGTAATTTTGTATTATTTCTACCCCTTTTTTTATCTCCATGTATTTTTTTTGTTTCCTTTTCTTTAAATAAAAAAAAAAAGAAAGAAAGTGAAATCTCTAATTGTTTTGCTCCACAGAGAGGCTTAGTGAGCCAGAGTCCCCATTCTCCCACCCCCAATTCCAGCTTCCTAGAGAACAGAACCACTTACAGCTTCAATTTCCTCTTCTTCTTCGTCAATGGTAGACACGGTGACAGAGCTGAACTTGCCCATGTCCTTAGTTCTTTTGGTCATCATCACCTGAAGCCGCAGGATGAGGAGACAGTCTAGTTCATCCCAATGGATCCATGAGCCATGTGTGAGTGGGAGCATGCACATGCCTATGCGCGGGGCTAAGGGAAGGGGGCAGAATACCTACCTACCTTCTAGGAAAATACCACTTATCTAAAAGTGCCAATGTTTTTATTTACACTATATTTTTCTAACATTTGTCATCAAGAATTTTAAAGTTCATTTTAAAAATAAGCCCAATTCATTCAATGTTTACACTACAAGTGTAAACATTGTTCACACTAGAAGTGTAAACATTGTTCACACTAGAAGTTTTGAAGGAAATAAATAAGAAGAATAAAAACTTTATTCATCAGGCAACTGTAGAAGAGAAAAAAGAATAGGTGCTGTAATTCCATAACATATGCTTAAAGACAACATTGGCATTCTATCAATAAAGAATGTAGTTCTTAATGCAGAACTGCATTAAGAGCAGTTTCTTATGTACTATATCCTTATTTAAAAATCTAAGACTAAATCTATAACTATATTAAGCAGTCTTACCAAGCGTGCATCTCCTTTAATGATAATTACCTTCTTGGGAGGCTCTTGTTTCTGGGTATATATATTTGTTTTCCCAAAACCCTGGCCAAACTTCACTACTGCTCCATCCACAATGAAAGTCACAGGAGCATTCTTCGGCTGGGACTGGTAGAACAGCGGCAGTCCGCACCTGCAAATAGCCGTGAGTCTCTGGGAGGTCTCAATTCCAAAACCCCAAACGGTGATCAGCAAAGTATACTTAAATTCTGGTAATACTGATGTTTGTGGCATGAACCAGTGATAAGCCCTTCACTGTATTTTATAAAACAACTTGACATGCATCCCTTAAGGTATTGTTAAAACTACTAATCAGATTCCTGGGTCCCTCCCAGAAGATCCTGCTTCAGCGACTATAGGAGTAAGGCCTGGGAATCTGTCATTGTAAACAGTGTCCCAAAGTGATTCTTACTAGATGAATTTAGTTCAGAGAGTTGGGCAACATTGGCTCATACAACTGCTTATGCAACTGCTCTACAGTCAAAAATTGCTACCATTGGGCTGGGGATTTAGCTCAGTGGTATAAGCACCTGCCTTGCAAGCAGGCAGTCGTGAGTTCGATCCCCGGTACTGATAAAAAGGAAAAAGAAAAAAAAAATTGCTACCATTCTTCCTAGGCATCTGAGTAACTGATTTGGGGTGTTTTGTCTAGCATTTTTCTGCTTTGTTTTGCTTTTGCAATGGGGAAGCATAAAGGCCCCACTGTAATGGTTGGTAAAGCATTCATGCAGAAATTGCCACTTTCTTTGGCTGGCCACTATTATATTTTTTGAGCTAAACAACGCAGAACTACAAGAAAGGATAAAACCAATTCCATCCACCTAGCAAGTTTGGGGCTAAAATGCCTTGTTATCCATTGCCTCTGCTTTAATTCTTCTAATCTGAGTCTTTTGGCAGTCAAGATGTAACTATGTAAGACTGAACTTACTATATTTTAATATTTTCATTATTACTAGCCTAAAGTTGGAAATATATACTTTTTTACTTTAAATGAAATTCTTTAAGAATTTAGGTCTATTATCCTATAATTGACTAAATAGGTCTGGACTAAACTACACTACATTTACCATATGCCCCAGTCCCTCCTACTACAACAGAAAACTAACGTTTACACTAAGATTTATACTAGAGTGTTCACAGAAGCTTTACTGGTAATAGTCCAAACCAGAAACAACTCAAATGCCCTTTGATGAATGGGTAAAAAAACTGTGGCATAATAGAATACTGTTCAGAAACAAAGAGAAATAAATGACCAACACAGATACCAACTTGGAAGAATTCCTGAAATATTACACTAAATGTTAAAAAGCCAAGTGCACAAGATACATATTGTACTTAGTAGAACATACATATAGAATTTATATAAAATTTTAAGAATGGCTAAACTGGGCCAGGGATTTAGCTCAGCAGCATAAGCACCTGCCTTACAAGCGCATGGTTATGAGTTCAATCCCCAACACACACACACACAAAAAAAAAAAACAGAAAGAAAGAAAGGCTAAACTATAGTGACAGAAAGCAGTTCCTAACAGAAGAGAGGATCACAGGAAGGAGATTGGCTGCAAAGGATACATGAAATATGGGAATTATTTATATCATGATAGTGATGTTATGACTATTCTTTCATCAAAACTCATCAAAGTGTATACTTAAAAACAGGCAATTTTTTGTTTTGATTTTTTGAGACACGGTCTCACTATGTAGTCCAGGCTGGCCTTGAACTTGCTGCACTCCTCCTGCCTGAGCCTCCCCAGTGCTAGGATTACAGGTGTGCAACACCATGCCCAGCAAAAAATGAGCAAATTTTATTACATATAAATTACATCTCAATTTTTAAAAATTATACTATGCTAAATATTTATTTTTGTGGGTCAACCGGTAAGAGATACAGCTTTGACTAGTCATTTATTTATTTATTGCCGAATGTTTATTTGAAAAGTTTCAAGGTAAATGGGTATGGGAGAAACCAGCTCTGCAGAGTGAAGTTTGTCTGAATAAAGAGAAAAATAGAATAAGAGCAAAAGCAAAGTACATGCTGCATCTGAGAAACATGGTATAGGTTACCAAGCAAACTCACGCACCATAGGCTTGACTAGTCTCTTGAAGAAGTATATAAATATTTGGTTTGAAGGCAGTTGAAACAAGGATAGAGACAAAACATAAAATTACATTCAATTATTATTTTCCAAACACATTATGTTTTTATTTGCCTACACTTGAAGAAACCTATACTGTTCATACTTACTTTGCACACTTCTTCCTGTACTGTCTTTCAATGCCTTCAGGCCTGCACAGAAAATTAAAGTTAAAAAATAAAAAGGTAGGAGCAAATCCCATAACCTATCAGTCTCACCAACTCATTTCTATACATGCTGAAAGTGCCTTTTTAAAAACAGTTTTCATTTCATAGATGAACTGGTTAAACACGTATGAATTTTAAAGATCCAGCATTCCTTCCTTTCTTCAATAAGCATTTATTGAGCCTGTAATATGGGTCAGGTATCTCCGTGACAGAGGAGGAAGAGAAGCCATACAGACTAGCAATTAAAGTTGTAGGAACAATGTTAATAACAACAGCACTTCTATAATCAGTCCTCCATATCTATGGGTTCTATATTTGCAGATTTTGCAAACTATGCATGGATCAAAATATTTGAAAAAACTGTGTAGTAATGAACATATGCAAATTTCTTTTCTTGTAATTATTCCCTAAAAATACAGTAACAATAATTGACACAGGGCTAGGGCTTTAGCTCAGTGGTTCAAGCACTTGCCTGATAAGCGTGAGGTTATGAGTTTGATCCCCAGTACCAAACAAAAAACAAAAACAATTGACACAGAACTTAGACTGTATTAGTATCATAAGTAAAGATGATTTAAAGCACATGGTAGGATGTGAGTGGTTAATATATAAATATATATAAATGCTATGCCTTTTTACATAAGGGATACAAGCATCAGCAGGTTTTGGTACCACATACACAGAGAGGCAACTATGTAGCTTTTATCATATATCAGAAGCTATTCTAAAATGAATGCAGGTACTGTCTCATTTAATCCTTACAACAATGCTTTAAGGTAGGTCATATTATTAATCCCATTTTACAGAAGAGGGAATCTAAGTCCAAGTTTTCATGATTTGCACAAGGTCACAGCACTAGGAAATAAAGGAGGTTGGATTCAAGTCCCACTGTCAAGCTCAAGAGCCCACACAATACTGTCGTAGATAATCAATGCATAAATAAGAAGCTCAATTACACCCACCAGTTGCTTAACAGAAATCTGAGACTCATCCTTGATTTTTCTCCTTCTCTTATACCTCACACTGATATCACCATCAAGTCTAATGGATTTTACCTCCAAAAACACTGGTTTTTTGTTACAGTGCTAGGGATGGATCCACATATGCCTAGGTAAGTGCTTTAATAACTGAGGTACACCCAGCACTTTTTAAATTTTGAGATACGATCTCCCTAATTTGCCCATGCTGTTGTCAAACTTGTGAGCCTTCTGCATCATCTTTCCAAGTAGCTGGGATTACAGGGTTGTGTCACTACCTCTGGCAAAAACAAAACAAAATCTTGAACCTGCCTCCTTTCCATCTTCCTAGCCCATAACCAATTCCCTGGACTATTACAACAAATTCCTGATTTCTGTCATTTTACCCATTTCAACTGTTAATAGTCAATATATCAACACATATGGGGCTGGGGATTTAGCTCAGTGGCATAAGCACCTGCCTTGCAAGTGTGTGGTTGTGAGTTTGATCCCTGGTACCGATAAAAAAGTGAAAAAGAGAAAAAAATATATCAACACATACATGTATAAGTGTAAAATGAAAACTAAATACCCTCTCCACTTACCTAGTACACACCTGGTTCCCTTCCGCAGAGGCAAAATGTTTGGTTTTGTGTGTGTGTGTGTGTTGTGTGTGTGTGTGTGTGTGTGTGTGTATTTATCTGAGAGACAGCTGATATATACCCAAGCAAAAAATAACCCTGAAAGGTACAGACAAAGCAAGCACTCTACATTTTTTGTGGTGGAAGGGAACACTGGAGCTAGAACTCAATCCTTCATACTAAGCTACAGCCACAGCGATGTTTTTGTTCTTTGAGACAGTTAAGCTGCCTAGCCTGGGCATGTACCACCACACTCTGCTTCTGGAATTTTATAGCGGGACGGAGTGCTGGTGATGGAATCCAGAACCTCGAAATGTTCAGTAAGCACTGTACCATTAAGCCCAATATATAAAGAGTACTTTTCCTTTTTAGCTGCACTACCATACTTTACACTGTTCTCTACTCAAATACTTAAAAATGCATCTTATTTTTGTAAAACACACACACACACACACACACACACACACACACACACATATATAGCATACATATACACACATACATATATACAAACCTATTAATGATTCCACATCAATCACTACTTCATTTTTTACAAGAACTGCATTGCATTCCTCTATGGGTAGAACCAAAATGTCTTTTCCCTGTTGGATAAATTCCTAGAAGTGTACATTTTAAACTCGGTAGATACTGCTGAGTCACTACCTGCAGAACCTGAACCAATTTATCCTCATGTATGCAGAGTTGTTTCCCTACAGAACTATATATCACAGAACTGTTTTTCTGCCAATCTCACATGTGAAAAATAAGATTTCCTAATCTGTAGGGTTTTGTTTTGTTTTTTTTTTTTTTTTGTGGTACCGGGGATTGAACTCACGACCTCGCACTTGCCAGGCAGGCTTATGCTGCTGAGCTAAATACCCAGCCCTAATTTGTATTTCTTTAAGAGTGAAGATATACCTCATTTCATAAATGTAATAGCCTTTGTATTTTTTGTGAACTGTCAGTTCATAAGTTTTGTCTGTTGACTTACTTTTAAATTTTTTATTAAGAAAGGGCTGGGGATATAACTTAGTGACATAAATGCCTGCCTGGCAAATGCAAGGCCCTGAGTTCGAGTTCTGGTACCAAAAAAAATTTATATTAAGGAGACTTGCCAGCAGTGTTAAGAGGCCTTACAAATATTTCTTCCTATTTGTCATTTGATATTTTTCCAATGTGGAAATTTTAGATTTTGTTACCAAAGCAACCTTTATTTTTTTTTACCATGTACGTCATACCTATTTAAAATCTTCCTCATTCTGAATTCCTATCTAAAACAAAACTTTTTTGGTACCAGGAATTGAACTTAGGACTTGTGCTTGACAGGCAGGCGCTACACCACTGAGCTAAATTCCCAGTCCTAAAACAAAATACTTAACTACTTATTCTAAGATCTGCTTCCACTATTGTCTTACTTCAAATCATTCTCTAAATACTATAGAGGTAAGAGTAACTTCAGGCACCTGGAACAAGATCTAAAGTCCTTCCCCTGGCCTACCAGGTACCCACTGAGATCTCATACATTGTCTCCTTCCCTCCCTCTGCACCACCCACACCAGTCTTCCTGCCATCCCTTGAACAAATGCACACTTTCCAACCTGTGGCTGTTCACATGCTCTTTCCTCTGCATGGAATGCTCTCACCATGTTGCCATGGCCATGCAACTGCCGTCTTTCTCAGTCTCACTTTCACATATAACCTGATCAGAGGCTTTCTCTGTCCACCTTTTCTAAGAGGATCTCGTGATTCTCCATACTAGTCCTTTGTTTTATTCATATCACTTTCCACAATCATAAATACCTGCTTTTTCTGTTGACTAATTTTCTGTCATCCTGTCCATGAGATCAGAGATTGGGCCACTATACCACTCTATGCCTAGAGCTGACCAGTATAATGGACACAAAATACATATGCAATAAATAATGGCTGAATGAATTCTCTTAAGAATTCAGTTTAGTGGGACAATTATAAACAAGGAGATATATACTTAAATGGAGGAATATATACGATGTAATGGTAACACAGAGGTGGGAACACAAAAATCTCTAGGCTATCATGGAAAGCTTCATGATAGAAAAGGGCATTTCTGGCTGTAGGAATACTACCTATAAAGAAAAGGTAGGTCAGCACACTCTGGAAATTAGAGTATACTATTATTGGGACTTAAAAAATAAAGAGTGTACTATCAATTTTACAAATATAAAGTGATTATAAGGTTGTAACAAGAGCAATTATATGATAAAAAATTAACCTACAATAAATGAACAAGTTACTACAATGAAAAAATGATTCACACTGCCAAAACTTATTCAAAAAGAAACAGAAAATCTGAATAGATTATAAGAGACTGAATTAGTAATCAAAGAAAAAGGTGGAACCAGAGCCTTTATTGTTCAATTTTACCAAAAGTACAAAAAATAAGCCCCATGTTTCACATATCTTTTACACAAAGAGAAAGAGGAGAGAACAGTTCCCAATTCATTCTTTGAGGCCAGAATTATATATGCAGTATAGGGATGTAGCTCAGTGGTACAGTGCTTGCATAGAACATATAAGGACCTGGGCTCCATCTCAACTCCTGCCCCCACCACCACAAAAAACGAAAAGAATAACACACAAAAATCCTCAAAAGACACTGGCAAACTGAATCCAGCAGCATATTGAAAAAAGTATAGGCTGGGGATTTAGATGTGGCTCAAGGGCTTGCCTGGTAAGCATAAGGTCATGAGTTCCAATCACCAGTACCAAGAAAAAAATATCAAACAAGAAAAAAGTATACAACCTGACTAAGTGGAATCTCTCCTAGGAATACATAATTGGGACAACATGCAAAAATCAATCAATGAAAGAATAGAGTTCACAAATAAATGTGTACATTTATTGATCTTCAATAAGGGTGCCAATAACACACAATAAAGAAAGGGAACTCTGCTCAACAAACGGTGATGGGAAAATTGAATATCCACAAGCATAGAAATGCCAGGCTAGGCATGGTGGCACACATCAATACTAGGTACTTGGGAGGCTAAGGTAAACAACCTAAATGTCCATGGACAGATGAGTGGATGCACACACACAAAAATTACTACTCAGTTTTAAAGGAAATCCTACCAACTGCGATAACATGAATGAACCTGGCGGGCATTATGTTACATGAAATAAACCAGACACATAAAGATAAATACTGCATGATTTCATTTATTTGTGGAATCTAAAATTGTCAGACTCATAAACCGGGCATAGTGGCACACTATGTTGCAGACAACACCTGTTGTCTCAGCCACTAGAGAGGCTGAGACAGGAGGACTGTAAGTTTCCACTTGTTTTCTCATAGCCTTTTGTTCACAACACCAGTATTTCTTCCTTTCACAACTGGTAACCTCTTCCCTCAATCAGCCATGAGCTTTTTAACAGTAAACCCTGTGCCTTATTCATTCACAGATCTAGTACCTAGATCAGTGCCTGGTGTAGCAAGCATGCTAACAAAGGCTAGACCGACTCACTGAAATCTGTAATTTGTGGTCAAATTACAATAATCAAATGGCAGGGGCTGGAGATTTAGCTCAGCGGCATAAGTGCTTGCCTTGCAAGCAGGCAGTCGTGAGTTCGATCCCTGGTACCGATAAAAAGGAAAAAGACAAAAAAAAATAATCAAATGGTAATGGAATCACATCTCAGCACCATTTTTCAACAAAGCACAAAAAAGATTCTGCTGTATTAACATGTTCCTGCAGACTGGAACCACCAATGATACATGCAAGATGTCTTATCAAGAGGTTTGTATCACTAGTGGTAGAAACAATACCATTGGGCTGGGAATTCAGCTGAGTGGAACAAGTGCTTGCCTGGCAAGCATAAGGTCATGAGTTTGAGCCCCAGCACCAACAAAACAAAACAAAATAGTATAGTCATACATATACCACCGGTGTTTCAAACCACCCGACAGTGGGACATACAAATTACGGCCCTGTTGTGAATGTGTTAACAGGAATTAGAAAACTACCACCAATGTCAGAATGGACCCAACTAGATGAGCTATTCAACATTAGAGAGGATATTTAAATTCTTCAGAAACAGATCCAGATATGAGTGAAATCCTAGATAGAAGACATTGACCTCTCACCTCCGAAGATACATAGTCTCCTCATCTTCCGTGTTACAAAACTTGTGGGCATGTTTGGCAGCATCAATCACACGAGATCTGTCCCGAGGTCTCATGGGCAGCTTCTCTAACTGACAGTCTAAAAGAACAGAGAAAGTTTGGGTCACTCAAGCTAATCAAAAGTTTTCAGTGGGGCCCTTAATACTGTAAGTTTCTGCTATAACTACTATGTCTTTGAAATCTGTATCAAATTTCCCAATTTAAAATGACTTGATATCAGAATACTTTATTTTTATGTTGTCAAGCCAAAAAAACTTAGATTAATTGAGAAGGTGGGGAGCGGAGTTAGAGAACACTCAGGCAGTTTACGTGCTAGCTCATTTACTCTTCCCAGTGAGACACTGAATGAATAGCAGTACTGCTGACTGTAACTCTGAATGGAGAACAGGGAACAGGTGATCATGAATTCAATATCTAGAAGGTAGATGTGAGAGAAGTATTAGATATCCCAGTGGAGACGATGAAAAGGCATGTGGAGTTTGAGGACAGGTGCAGGTCACCGGTACCGATAAAAAAAATGAAAAAATATTGAGCTATAGGCCTTAAAATGCCTAAAGCCTGAGAGGAAGAAAGGAGACACTTAAGAAAAAGTAAAAGCTGAGGCAAGTGAAAAATCAAGAATGTAGGGGCCTAGGGTTTAGCTCAGTGGCATAAGTGCCTGCTTGGCAAGCTCGAGGTTGTGAGTTTGATCCCCAGTAAAAGAAAGAAAAAAAGAAAAACTGTGTGGAGTCCTAGAAGCAAATCAATGTGTCAAGAAAAATGGGACTGGGGTGTGTGGCTCAATGGTAGAGAGCTTCCACAGTATGCCCCTAGGTTCAAGCTCTAGTACAAAAAATAAATAAAACAGTGATCAACTCTTTGAAAAACCAGTGAGGGAGTTTCAGTGAATAGTGGTAATTGGCCACTGGTACTGGTCAAATGAAGCTCAGTCAGTAACCTTGATAAATACGGTTTAGATAGTGAAGTGGGAAGGAAAGTCTACCAGAAGTCAGTCAAGAAGCAGCCAATAACAATTCTTTTGACAAGTTTTACTAGAACTTTTGAGAAGTTTTGCTATAAAAGAGTCAGAGATGGGCTTAAAGCTGGAGGGAGAATTGGGGATGAAGCTCAGTGACAGCACTTGCCCAACATGCACAAAACCCTGAGATTAATCCCCAGTACTACCACCCACCCACTCACAGTCGCTCTGTATGGATATTAGGGTCAAAGGAGGATTTTTATTTTCATTTATCCTAAAATGAGAGCTATCACATGATATTGTATCGAGCAGAAAACTTATAAAGTACAGACGCAATACTGCTGAAGAGTGTACTGAGAGGAAGGTTACAGTTTATTTTTTCTCTGAAAGAGTTTAGTTTTGAGGAAAGTCTGGATACGAAGTCCCAAGGTTAGGTAAAAAACAGGGGGAAAATGCCATGGAGGAAAGCAGGAATGTGTGGGGAGACTCCAACGGAAAGGAAAAATGCAACACTCTTCAAAGAGGGGTCCCACACCACAGCCACAGGAAGTTCACCCCCAGAGACCTGAAGTCTCGGTCCGGACAGACTCCCTCGAGTCCCTGACTACTCACCCAGAACCAAGACCATCTGGCCGCACAAACAGTAGTAGACATGGAGAGGCTTCTCGCCGTCGTCATATTCCTCGCGGTCCCGGGTGTCGGAGCAAACCACCGACCGAGACACCACTTTCGGCATGTTTCCGGAGTAACCAAGATACTCTGTGGAGGGAGAGGCGCACAGAAATGACGTCACACCCTCGCGCCGAGCCTTTTCACAGCTGTCAGTCAGTCAGTGGCAGTAGCTTCTGAACTTCCGGGCTGTCCCATCAGGCTGAGAGGCAGGGGGGGAACCTTCTTGAGCCGCCCGGAATGCGTAGACTTAGTCGGGACTACTTCATTTGTGACAACCCCAATGTCATTTAAATTACTTATAGTCATAAATATTTATACATCATGTACATATTTGTATATATAAAACCTAATATAAGAAAAGACTATATACATGTCCATAATAAAGATTTTAGGTGTGGCCCTAAATATAATTTTTTTGCAGATTGAACCCAGGACTTTCCTACTGAGCTACACCCCCAGTCCCCACTCCTTTTTTATGGAAATAAAGTCTCGCTAAATATCTAAATTGCCTCTTTACCAAGATTGGGCTCGAACTAGCAGTCCTCCTGTCTCAGCCTCCCAGGAGGCTAAAATTACAGGCGCGCACCACCACACCCGATTTTTATTTTAACAGCAGTATTCAGGATGAATATCTCATGAACTACAGGCATTTTTCTTTAGTTTCCTAAAGTTATAACTCAAATAAAATCCTTATATAGTGTATAATTCGGTAAGTATTAAGATGTTCACTAAGTTATACAAGCACCACGTTATCTATTCTAGAACATTTTCATTCTCTCAAAAAGAATTCCTTTGCCTATTAGTAGTCACTATCTCCGTCCTTCCCAGCCATTGGCAACCACTATTCTACCTTCAATCTCTATAGATTTGTGAATGCTGGACATTTTGTATAAGCGGAATTGTACAAAATGTGGTCATTCATCCAGCTTCTGTCACTTAATATGTTTCCAAAGTTTATCCATATCGTAATGCTTTTTTATTGCATGGATAGATTATACAATAGTTTGTTTACCCATTCATTAATTGATTATCTTTGGCCTTGTTACCACTAGTGGCTTCTACAGATAAGTCTGCTATAAACACTTATACATGAATTTTTGTGAAGAAAACAGTTTTAATTTCTTTGAGGTGTACAATTAGGAATGGAACTGCTGGATCAGATGATAAGTCGATGTTTAACCTTTTGAAGAATGATTAGTGTTTTCAAAGCGGCTGCAGTTTTATATTCCCACCAGCAATGTATAAGGGTTCTGATTTTTCCAACCTCTTGCCATTAATTTTTCTTTTTTGTACTGGGAGTTGAACTCATGACCTTGTGCTTGCCAGGCAGGCACTCATGCCACTGAGTTAAACCCCCAGCTTCTTGCCATTAATTTTTGTCTTTATTATTTTTATAGCCATCCTGATGAGTATGAAATTGTACTTCACTGTGGCTTGATTTGTACTTCCCTAATGATTAATGATGCTGAACATCTTTTCATGCAATTATTGGTCATTTATGTATCTTTTTGGATATATAACATCTATTCATATAACATTGATTACATATACATACATCATATAACATAAAACATCTATTCAAATCCTTTACACAGTTTAAATTAGGTTATTTGCCATTTTATTGTTCAGTTGCAAAAATTCTTTATATATAGTGGATACTAGACCCTAATTTTGTAAGTTATTTATAGTAGACAAATCTTTGTGTTCCACATATAAAGGAACATCTTCCACTTTGCATTCCTCAACTCAGAAACCCTGTCAGGACTGGAAATTTAAAGCAGTCCACCAGCCCTTGAATGAACATGAATTTATAAGACTGTTCTTTTTGTTTTGACTTTTTCAGTGCAGGGGATTAAACCTAGCATCTTGCATGTACTAGGAAAGTACCATTGACTGCACCCCCTACCTTTTAGCATGTCCTTACATTGCAGATTAATCAACTCTGAATAAAGTTCAGCTGTACAGTTAAACAGATTTTTTTTTGAAATATATAAATTTTGGTACATTTACATCAATATCTGAAAAATGCTGCTGGAACTTTAATTCAGTGTGAAATTCCTATAATATATTCACAGCAGATGGGTATAGGAATGTAAATCTTGATTTTTACTTTAACTTTTGACAGTGCAAGAAACAAAGTTGACATGCAGTAGCTTGTAATTCAGTGTTGCTAAATGGAGTAATTTTACTGCAGTATAAATGTATATTTGCACTTTTGTTTTGTAATTTTAAGTTAAAACAATGAATAAACATTATCCCCAACGCTAATACCCAAAAACATTTGGTGTTCAATAATGTAGTTGAGGGTGGTTCTTACCCTTCAGAAATTTGAATAAACTTTGCCTTTGTTAAGCTATTGAACTACTATTGTAGGACAAGTCAAAAATATTCAACTTTATTATTCATGTGGATTGGGGGGGGTCATTTTTGATTTTTGTTATTTTGAGACAGGGTCTCTTACCATGTAGTTCAGACTGGATTTGGTTATGTAGCCCAGGCTGATCTCAAACTCACAATGATTCTCATCCTCCTGCCTCAGCCTCCTGATGCTGGGATTACAGGTGTACACAACCCCACCTGGCTTCTCAACATCTACTTCTGATAAAATTCATGGACCTGACAATGGTTCAGTCCATGAAAGTGAATGAAGCTCACTATTGACACTACTCATTCAATAGCAGAAGATAGAGCCAGGCATGGCGGTGCACACCTGTAACACCAACATTCTAGGAGTTTGAGGCAAGAGGATCCAAATTCGAGCCCAGTCTTGATGATTTAGTAAGACCCTGTCTCAAAATAAATAATAAAAAAATTAAAAGAACAGGGGAAGTAGTTCAGGGAGAGCTGAGGTAAATCCCTATTACTGCGGGGGGGGGGCATTTTAAACAATAACACAAGATAAGGTAGATTCAGTTATTTTCCTGCAAAAGACCTGCTGCTTAATACTGTAACAAACAGCCACGTGACCTAACTGATTTACATTCCACAGCCCATGTATATTTGCCCAACCAAGTCTTTCCCTGCTCCACACATATTTGTAATGCATCTTAGCAGATTCTGCCTCAGGCTGTAGACAGTGTTTTCTTGACTTCTTTGGAAATATTCTGACCTGCAGTTGTTTCACCCAGACTGTACATACAGCCCAGTTCTTCATTCCTTTGAAATTCAGTACTGGCTCCTTGGGCAAACCATTGATCAGTGTAGATCATATCTGTTAGCTCATCAAGTACCCCCCCATCCACTTGAAATCATTTGCCTTGTTTTGGTTTTGTTTTTGTTTAATGGGAGAAGTTAGTGTGGGGGATGGAGCCCAGGGGCTTGGCATGCTAAGCACATACTTTACCACTGAGCTGCGTTCCTAGCTCAGGCCTTCTTTTTAAATTGCCTATTGATCTTGATTCTAGTGTCCTCAACTCTTTGTGCCACTGTTTCTGCTGAAAGGCTAATATAATCTGAAACAACCTCAAGCATACATCTTTGACTTCAGCAACCAAATATGATTTAATGAACTCAGCAACAGTAAATGGCTCTTCTTGCTTAGCTAACAAATGAACCACTCAGAGTTACTTCAATGGCAGCCTCATTTTCATTTTTTATTTCCTTGAAAATTGTTGTTATCTAGGGGCTGGGGATTTAGCTCAGCAGCATAAGCACCTGCCTTGCAAGTGTGTGGTCCTGAGTTCGATCCCTGGTCCCGGTTTAAAAAAAAAAAAAAAAAGTTAAAGGAAGAAAAGTGTTGTTATTTTAAGATAGTCTATATTAACAAATTTTCTTTCTTAGCCTATTCAGCTTCTTTTTAAAAAATTTCTGGTTGTTCCAACCATTGCTGTCCTCTGAGGTGAGACTATTGTGGTGAGTACAAAATCTTGATTCAGCAATTCAACAAGTAGTGAATCCTGCTTTCTCGGCACTAACTTCCAGTGTCTTTAAACCTTGATACACCACACCTCATGTTCCAGTGTCTGTAGTTGGTAACAAACTGCTACTTGTGTTAAAAAGAGCACACATTGAAAATTGTTGCTTTTTACAAGTGGTCCTTTGAATTTATCTCCTGAGATTATTGGAGTCAAGAAAGACCTTTTGATTTTATGTTCTGCTTTTGTTACTTGAATAGCATTTGTGCAACATTTTATCAGTAGAAGTGGAAACAATTAGAACATAAACTGAGTGTGGTGACCTGAAATCCCAGCTACTTCAGAGGCAGAGGCAGAAAGACCAGGTTTGAGGCCAGCCTGGGAAATTTAGTGAGACCTTATTGTAAAATAAAATTTTAAAAAGTGCTAGGAGAGGGGCTGGAGGTTTAGCTCAGCGGCATAAGCGCCTGCTCTGCAAGCAGGCAGTCTGAGTTCGATCCCCGGTACCAATAAAAAGGAAACAGACAAAAAAAAAAAAAAGTCACAAAAAAAGTGCTAGGAGATAACTTAGTGAGCATTTGCCTAACATATGCAAGATCTCAAATCCCAGAGAGAGCAAGAGAGAAGAGAAAAGGGAAAACAATAGGGAGGGGAAGCGGGGGGGGGGGGGGGGGGGAGAAAGGGAAAGGAAAAGGGAGAGGAAGGGGAAGGGGAGGGCAAGAGGGATGGAAGGAAGCTAGGTGGGTAGGTCTGTGGGCTTCATTAGATAACAGAAATAAAAACTCACAGACTTATACTGTGAGACATGAAAGTTTATCTGGTATCTTCTACTGACTCAAAATAGTTTAGGAAAATTGAAATCTGTTCTGTATAATGAAATCTTCAGAATAAAATTTCATAATTTTCCTACTGAAATATTCCTATATTTCACAGTCTTTTAAGAATTCTCAAATCCTTGCCTATGGACAATTTGGAATTTCTTTTCTTCCATGGTGTTGCTAAGACCTGCAAAAGGTATGGGTACATTGCCAACACACTTCCTTTACATTTAACAGCTTCTCATTCCTCAAACCCTGCTCTTTGATGGGAGTGTGCCTGGTTATGAAGAGGGTATTATTTAAGACGACAAGGTGAGATGGGGACAGAAGAAATGCTTGGCCAGCTGTGCTATAGTTAGTATGTTCTAGCCTGACAATTATCTGTGCTGGAAAACTATCTTCTGTGTTACTGCTTGCTATGACAACCCTGCTTCTGATGAGGAGTATGAGGCACAATGTTCCCTGCAACATAGTTCCAATATACACAGAATGCTATTCCCAGATGGATGTCACAGGACCTACACATTGTTTTGATTCATGTTCTTGTTTGTGGAATTTTGGGGGGGGTACCAGGGAGCAAACTCATGACCTCGCACTTGCCAGGCAGGTGCTTATGTCACTGAGCTAAATCCCCAGCTGATTCATGTTCTTGAGTTGTCTTATTTATGTGGTCCCAGGAAGGGAGAAAGACAGGGTTTCAGAAAGAAATAAGCCCATAACAGAGTCAAATATGCCTAGATCTTGCAATGCATTTCTTTCTTTTTTTTTTTTTTTTTTTTTTGTCTTTTTCATTTTTATCGGTACCGGGGATCGAACTCACGACCGCCTGCTTGCAAGGCAGGTGCTTATGCCGCTGAGCTAAACCCCCAGCCCCTTGCATTTCTGATATTTATATCTAGTAGTAGGAGCTCCCTGGTTGTCTTAGTTACTTTTCTCATTGGTGAGACAATATAACCAATACCCAAAGTTACAAGAGGAAAGATTTATTTAGCTCACAATTTGTAGAGGTTTCAGTCCATAGTCAGCTGGCTCCAAGGCAAGGTGGCTTCACAGAGGAGAGCTGTTCATTGGTGGGCAGACTATAGCAAAGCAACAAAGAGGAACAAATCCATTTTTGTTCCTTATAAGCAGCCAGTCTACAAGGATTAGGGCAGGGCTGATCTAGTAATCACCACCCTTAATCTTAGCACCCTTAATCCTAGCATTACACCATGAATCAATCACAAACTCTATTTCAGCCACCTCTGAAAAAGCTCCACCTACGACTGCATGAGGCTTTGGCGGGGGGAATATCTAGACATAAACATAACACCGGTGCATTTCATACTTTCCAGGGCACTCAGTGCTCCTCAATGGGAGACACTCAGTACATCTCTCATGCTCAACATCCTGTAATCACTGATGACTGAGCCTAAATTGCCCACCCTTGCATTTGAGGGTATTTAATCAACTTCTGTCACCCTCGGGTTTTTTTCTTTCTTTTGTCTGTCTTTTTAAGACAATATTTCACTAAGCAGTTCAGGCTGGCCTTGAACTCACTTTGTAGGCCAGGCTGACCTCGAACTTGCAGTGATCCTCCTGCCTCAGCCTCCTGAGTGCTGGGACTACAGGTGTGAACCACCATGCCTTTCTTTCTTTTTTCCTTCCTTCATTCCTTTTCTTTCCTTTATATTTTCTGTTTTGAGAAAGAGCCTTGCAGTGTATGAAGCACAGGCTGGCCTTGAATCCACAATCCTCCTGTGGCAGCCTGAGTGCTAGATCACAGGTGTGCACCACCATGCTCAGCTCTCATGCTCACTATTTCAAGCTGAGGGCTCATTCCCCACTGAAGAACCTCTCAGTTAGCCAAGCTCACCTGGCTACTTCCCCAGACTATGAGTTAGCTCCATGTCCTTGTTCGCATTGTTCTTGCTCTTACTTAAAGTACTTGCATTTTTCTCTCTCAAGATAGGCTTTCATCAACTTGAAACAAAACAGAGATTGACCCATTTCAGGAACCTTGTCCTGACCCCATCATTCTGATGATTCTTCTGCTGTGCAGTACTTCAGCATTTGGGAGTTCATGTACTGTTTCTATATGCCCAGCTATTGCTGTGGTAGGCAGAATTCTAAGATGCCACCCTTCTCGATGATCCTGGTTTCTGTTGTATACATAAACCATCTCCCATTTATTAAAACAAATGCTAATTTAGGTTCTATTGTGAAGAAATTTAGTTTGTTTGCCTGTTTTTTTGGTGCGAGGCTGAAACCCAGGGCCTTGCGCGTGCTAAGCAAATTCTCTACCACTGAGCTACAACCTCAGTCCAAGTAGCAGATTTAATTATCTCAAATTAGGTAGTTGAAGATAGGAAGATTATTCAGGGTGTGACAAACCTAATTAGAGAAGTCCCTAAAGTGGACCGGTCATCTTCTGCAAAAAGATTAAACATGTGAGAAAGATTTGATAGAGTTTCTCTCTTGCTGACTTTGAAGACATAGTAGGCCAGGAATGTAGGTGGCCTCTAAGTTAGAGTGGTACTTGCTTGACAGGTAGCAATCAAATAGAGACCTCAGTCCTGCATCTACAAGGAAATGGACTTGGCCTACGTCTTGTGGTAATTTGTTTCTTGCCTGTTGTTAGTAACATGTCAAGCAATGATAGAGAATCAATGCACTTGTTTTTGAAGATCTTTTGTTGGTTTCATATTTGTATTAATATACTGGATTTTCCTAGATAGGAGGAAAGAAATGTTTGAAATTGAATTTTGTACCCTTTCCCCACCACAGCCATCACATGCTATTAGTGAGACTTGCCTTATCTGAGATGCTGGAGATAATAAGGAACAGAAATCCCTGGTCATGAAGGTACTTGTTGTTAAGCAGCAGCTAAAATCACTACCCATGTTAAGTGCCTTGTGCCTCCTATGTTAAAAACAAATCTCTGCACATCAAATACCTTCTGGACATCGTCACACAAATATCTCATCAGTTCCAAAACTGAGTAAGTCCCACTCAAAATTTACCCTTCCAAACTTGTCCCTTCCTCTGTATATCATAATGGTACCTTCAAATCCCCACTTAACTTGGAACTTAGTGCTTCAGCCTTTGTTGACTCCTGCCCTCTTGCCTCCACATCCAACCTGTTGCCAAGTCCTGTTCATCTTCTCCCTTCTGTCCTTTATTGACATTGCTGGTTCAGTATCTCTCACCTAGAATACCATGAGAGTCACCTACCTGCTCCCCTGGAACCAGTCTGTCATGAACATAGCTCTAATGATGTAACTTCCCTGCTTACTTACTTTTCAAGAATCCACTAGCTTGGCATTTAAAACTCTCTATGAGGGGCTAGTGATTTAGCTCAGCAGCATAAGCACCTGCCTTGTAAGTGTGCAGTCGTGAGTTTGATCCCTGGTACCGATAAAAATGAAAAAGACAAAATAAATAAATAAATAAAACCCTCTATGATTTAAACCTACCTTGCTCAGATTTTCTATAACTCTTAAAATAGGTACTTTATCTCCAGTTATTTTGGATTGACCTTTAAAAATTCTTCTTTCATATTGTTATTGTTTTTCAGGTTCACATACTGTGACTGACACAAGCAACTTTTCTTTGTGCACCTTACCGTCGCTTTGGCTTCAGACCCACTGTCCTACCAATTCTCTGCATTGGGGATATTCTCATACTTTGGACTCTTCAGCACGCATACTAGCCGCTTGGCTTGAACTGCCAAGGGGAAATGTGGTTCCAGAGCCAAATTGTGAGTGACTAGAGCTAAAAAAAAAAATCCTATTGTTTGCCTTAAACTCTCATTCCTTTCCCCAAGATATCCACCATTTTATTTATCACAGCTTTGGGGTGCTCACTGGCTCAAATGTTAGGCTCCAAATCTTTGACGTCATCCCACAAAAACCGGACTCAGCACCCTTTCCTAGTCAAGAGCAATTTACTCGGTTTGCTTTTTCGAGATTGTAATCAGTCACGTCCCTTCCCTAGTTTCTGGTGTCCGCAGCTGTGGGTACCCTAGAGTTCCCGCTTTTTGAGAACTAGTTTTGCCTCCTTCGGCTCCTTCTTGGATTAGTTTGGCACTTCCATCTTCCTGTCCCCTCTCTTGCTTCCCCCATCGCAGTCATAGTGTCCACATTAATAAGGGATCTGGTGTCAAAAGTAAAACAAGAGGGCAGAAAACTTCCCAGGCTTCTAGTAAGCTTTCCTTTGCTCTGAGACTTGCTTTTCACCCCTGGACCAGCCAGGCACCACTCCCTGCCAGCTTGCTGGGCTTTAATGACCTAAGCAACTTTTGCTCCCCTCCCCCGGCTCCGTCTTGGTTCGGCCAGTCCGACATTCTGCATTCCCCCCCCCCTTCCTTTCAGGTTGGTTCAGCCCCTGTCTACTCCGGGGTGGTGCTTAGCCGGCGCCAGACAGACCCTCGACTTCTGAGGGGTAGCGCTGTGCCTCTAGGGGCTTCCTCCTCACCTTCGGCTTCTCCATCCTCCTCAGCCACCTCACCGTTTGCGGGGACCCAAGACCCTGGTGTATGCCCCACCCTTGACCCTGCTAGAGATATGTCCACCCCGGCTCGGCGGCGCCTCATGAGGGACTTCAAGAGGTAAACCGTCGGGGCGAAGGAGGCCGGGGGCACAGGGCGGGTCCCCAGCGGACCCTGAGGGCGGGAGTGGGGGCGTCAGAGAGCGGCGGCGACTGTCGGACTGAGCGGCCTGTCTGTTTCTCTGAAGGCTGCAGGAAGATCCTCCAGCTGGAGTCAGTGGGGCTCCGTCAGAGAACAACATAATGGTTTGGAACGCGGTCATTTTTGGGTGAGTTTACGTTCAGGGCGGCGACGAGGGCTGCGGGACTGGAGCAGGCTCGGTCTGCCCTCTAGGGCAGGGGCCTGGCGAAAGCTGAGGTGGAAGGGAGAATGTTTGGGTTTGGCTGGGCCTAGGCGCCTCCCCGGAGCCTGTGCCTCGATTAGCTCAGTTCCCGTTGCCAGGGGAGCCCGTGGGGGCTCTAGGGGGGCGGAGTAGGGAGTGGTGGCGCTTGGGCGCGGCGGCCTACACCGGGTTCCCGAGCCTGACGTGCGCTGCCGGTGGCCTTTGGGCCAGGCCGCGGTGTGATCGGAGGTAGCGGTGGCGGCAGGGGAACAGCCCTCTCCAGAGGGGAGCCGAACAGAAAGGGTCTCTGTCCCCAGGAACTGATCATTTGTTTCTTTTGCAGGCCTGAAGGGACCCCATTTGAGGATGGTAAGAAAGAGTTTCTCTACCCGCCTTTCAGGAGCGTGACAATCTGGGGAAGGGGTTCCCATTCATCTTGCAAGTACCTCCTGCTTAGTAACCTGCTTCTGCCCAGCTTCTGCTTACTAAAGGCTTGAGTGGAATCCAGTGTGTAGCAGGTCGTTCTGTGTATTGTCTGCTTGACTAGAAAGGCACCTGTTTCTTTGGGTTTGTGAGTGTGTGTGTGTGTGTGTGTGTGTGTGTGTGTGTGTCTGTGATTTAACCATTCTTGATGGGGCAGTGACTTTCAAAAAGGAACATTGTAGCACTGGTGTTAAGGGTTCTTGAGGTTTGATCTGTGATGCTGCTAAACTCCCCACCCATTGAGATATTGAGTTAGGATGAAACCAACCAGTTCTTGACAATCAGCAGAGACCCCAGAGATCATCTGATTCAGAATTCTATCCCAAGGACAGGGATTGTGGTCAGCAGGTGCTTAGCAGGTGTTTACTGGGCACTAAATGGATGCAAGAGTCCCTTCCACACAACTAAATGGTTTCTACAGTCTGAAATTGAATGCCTGTTGGTTTCACTACTCTGAGGGTCTTAAATGCCTAATGTGAGTGTATATTATTTCTTGGTTTTAAATGAATTTTCAGTGTGTGCTTTCAAGACTTTATGATCAGTAATCTCAAAGAAGCTTTAGAATTGAGGTTTACAGCTTTCGACCAGTGTGCAACCTACTTGGTACTACAAATAACAGTAGGCATAGAAATTTTAGGTAATTTAGGTTTAACTTTTAAAACACACATTATTTGCTGTTCAGAAACTTTGTATTGTAGGGTAATTACAGATTCATGTGTAGTTGCAAGAAGTACTAGAAAGAGAGCCTGTATACCCTTTACTCATTCCCCCTCCCACATAACCTTTCCAACTTGGTAGCATCTTGGATGTCTACATTGAAGCACCACAACCAGAAAATTTACAGTAACTTAATTTTTAAATGCACTCGTTTGAGTGTGTGTTTAGTTGTCCATTATTTTTTGACAGTTTTATACATTTAAATGATGGTTAAAGGGATTTGAGCTCATAAAATTCTCTAATATTTGAAGTATTTAAAAAATAAAAAGATATTCCTGTTGTTTTTTCTCAATGATTTATCTTCTTTTGGTCACATGGAATTTTGCATATGTATATACACTCACTCCCTTGAGTTTGAAGGTGGGAACAAAAACAGTTTTGCAACTACTTAATATTTATGTTGCTGAGTTGGATTGCTTTTTGATGCTGTCAGTCCCCAAACTACTGTGCGGTAAGTAAAGATCAACCAATTCTTTTCTTTCTTTCTTTTTTTTTTTTTAGATCAACCAATTCTGTACTTTGTCTAAAATCCCCAGATCTCCTTAGGAAATTGTAGACCAGTGGTGGCAGGCCTGTGGCATGTGTGCTGCAGTAGGGTTAGTTATCACTGAAAACTAAAAAAATTGCCATCACTGTGGTAAACAATTCACCTGAATATCTTTGGTTTCCTCTCTGTTCCCCCTCTGGGTAAATATCACTACTCTTTGGTGCTGTAATAAAAAGAAACAATAGGAGAGAGTGATTCTAAGGGCATACCACTTTGGTATAGTGAATCATTTGAACTGATAGCAAGAGCTAGCTAGACTTACTTTTCCCTACTAGATTGGTGCTAATTCTTTATCACTAAACTCTATTAGTGCTGTAATTGCTGTAGCTCTAGTACACTTTGTTTTCATTGGCTTCTTTTTTCCTCAGACTATTTTTTGCTAGGTAGAGCTGTATTAACAGTATATCACTTTGCTAGAGGTTGGCTACTTAAAATTTCAAGGGTACTTGTCTTGTTCTGAGTGGCACAAATTGAAAAGGTACTTATGGAATCCATTATCTACCTGGACCTGTCCCCTTTGACATTACTGCTGGCTGTATTTTTGATGATGTGAGACTATTCTGGCATTACTAAAGAGAATTACTCAGGCTAAATAATAGTACCCTTCTCTGATTCATTTTGTCAAACAGTATGCTATCTATGGATGTTTCCCCAGGTCCCTGGAACTCTTACTGAGGCTACAAGAAATAGTTTGACCATTTTTTGAGTACTCATAGTTGTAGTTGAGGAATTTATTTATTTATTTATTTATTTATTTATTTTTTTTGTCTTTTTCCTTTTTATCGGTACCGGGGATCGAACTCACGACTGCCTGCTTGCAAGGCAGGCGCTTATGCCGCTGAGCTAAACCCCCAGCCCCTAGTTGAGGAATTTATAAGTTAAGGAAAAAATTGGTTTAGGAACAAACAACATAGGTAATGCTGCTGCTTTCATTGTATTGTTATAAATCAAGAGCCTTCTAACTACTTTTGCTTCTTCATTGTAAACGATTCATGGTACAGGTTTTGGACCTTATAGAGGGAATTTTGCTGGGAATTTAGCTCAGTGGTATAAGTACTTGCCTGGCAATCACAAGGTCATGAGTTCAATCCCTGGCATTAAAAAAAAGGGAAATTTTAGGAAAAGGAATTCTCAAAAGTAGTTTAAATTCATTTACTTGAAGTAAGAGGAATATATCCTGATGTGGTTATATTGCCAAAATGTGTATGTGTGTGTCTGTATGTGTATGCCAAAATGTGTATGTGTATGTGTATGCCAAAATGTTTATGTGTGTGTCCTTGTTAAAACATATTAGTATATATGCTGAATACAAAGGTTATAAGGAATATTACTCATAACATCTAAAAATTGTTAGTAGACATGGTAAGGTATTAATATTTGCTTTTTATAATAGATGTCTTCTTAAGAACTTAGAAGTGTAAATCTTTTCTGTTTTAAAAGGATTCAAAGTCCATTAAGGATGATCTTAAAGTAAATAAATCCTTTGAGTTTTGGTGCTGTCTTAGAAATCAGAATTTTCAGTTATCAAAAATTTATAAATTATATGTACTTTGCTTTTTCCTCAGGGGTCACAAAGTAGTAGCGCAATGGCAGAAAACACCTGCAAAGGGGATTTCTTTAGGCAGCACAATATTTTCAAAAATTTGAATTTGTGTATAACTTTAAGCAGAATATACATTGTCTAGTTCAATCACATCGGTTCTTATTGCCATGCACCAGCCATTTAACGTGTTATGTAATTACTCTGGTCTCTGTGGATAGGACTAATGTATACTCTTGTTACATTGGCCTCCTCAGGAAGATAAACAAAACCAGTAGAGATTGTGTACAACAATGGTGAGAGTTACATTTTTAGTTATTTTAGAGCTTAACTTCTCAAATACTTTGAGTGTAAACTCTAGTAGTAAATCGTATAATTTTTTATAACTTATTACTTGGTTAGATCTCAGAAATTGTATTATACTAAAGAGATTCTGATTGGTTAATGTGTCTAAAAGTATGAAATATTCCCTTTTTAATGTGTACATTGAATAAGGTTTGGCAAGTCTTAATTTATATTCGACTAGACATAGTTTGCTTTACTTCTAAAGATATTAAAAACTGTTTTAAAAGATTAACTTCATTAATTTTTGGTAGCTAGGAAATCATCTTGTTGAAGCTCTGGTCAAGTGTTAAGCAGAAAGCTCAAGTAAGCCACCAATATATATGCTAAGTTTATATTTAATCATGAGTATTTGATGTGTGCCAGAAATCAAGTGCTACTTGATATCTGAATTCACTAGTTGTATATTTCTTACCTGATAGTTAAGCTTTCATTATATTTGATTCCTTTTTAAGGAATAAGCTTTCATTATATTTGGTACCTTTTTCGGATCAAAAGGTGTGAGGTTTTAGAATTATAGCTAAAATAATTGCCCCTATTTATGGAGTATTCATTTTGTGACACTGTGTATGTGTCTCTCACTTAAGCCTTGTAACAATACTGTGGTGGGAATATTATTAACCTCACTTTACACATGAGGAACTTGAGGTGTGGTCATGTTGAGCACTTTTCCCAAGGTATCACAGCTAATAAGCAGCAAAGCAAGGATCTGACTGAGCCCTGGCCTAACTTCGAAGTTTGTATGCTTACCCAGCAGTGTTCTACTTTTTTTTTTTTTGCTGCTGCCCACCTTTATGTGTTGCTTTACAACTTTTACATTCTTAATGTTTTTAATTTAAGGTAGCTGGCATCTTGGTGTGTGATTAAGCCTGCCCAGTTATTTCTTGGTGATAAATCATGCACCTATAAATTTAATCATATTTTAAAAAGACAAAAAAAATTTAATCATATTGCAGCATTGGTCCCAATGTATTTACATTTGAGACTCATAAGGAAGCTCAAACTTTTGAACACTTTACCACTCCCATTTTTTCTTGCATATTAAAGTGTGAATAATAATGAAAAGGAAGAACTATGCTTTCTTCTCAACAAAGTTTTTGACCAGATGGTAAGGTGGAATATGTTCTGAGACTATAGTATAGTATGTTTATCCACTCCATAATATTTTACTTCTTTTCCTTAGATATGATATATAGTATCTGCAGATGTGGCTTCCCAAAAGAAAATAGTGTATAGAGTGCCAAGTTGGGGGAATATAACATGTCTCTACATTTTATTTTAAGCCGGGTATGGTGGCACATACCTGTAATCCCAGCACTCAGGAGGCTGAGGAAGGAGGATTTTTGCGAGTTCAAGACCAGCCTGGGCTTTAAAGTGAGCTCAAGTTAAGCCCAAACTGCATAGTGAGACCCTATCTCAAAAAGACAAAAAATTTATTTTATATTTATTTTGTGGTGCTGGAGAGGGAACCTGGCACCTTGTGTGTACCAAGTATACTCTGTAACATTTAGCTTAATCCCTAGCCCTGTGCCTCATTTTTAAATTAAAGTTTTGGACCACATGGTCATACTAGCTTTTAACTTTGTTAATAAATTGATCCTAGGAGTTTCATAGTAGGACAAAAACTTTTTAGTGTTATTATGTAACATAGTAGCAGGATGATTGCAGTATTCTTTTGTTTCTATACAGTAGTTAACTTAATGGCAACAAGGAAGAAACAAATTGCAAACTCTCAAAGAATCAGCAATAAATTATACTCTTATCAGATGTGTGCCCTATTGTATTACAATAAATAATTTATTAAATGACCAGAGTAATACAGTAGAACATGCATCACCTTATACCAGATAGTAACTGATTCCTTTCTTAGGTTTACTTGAAGAGATTTGAGTCAGGTAAAAGAATTGCTCAATTGTTTTTTTTTTTTTTCATTTATTTAACACAAACATTTTGAAGGACAGCATTCCCAGATCTCAACATCTGATGATCCCTGTATGAGATCCAGTTTCTCTATATCCCAGTATGCTTTATAGTCTCCTTGTTATCTTAATTGTCATTATGTTCAAGAAAAATAATTTTTTCAATAGCAGCCTAAACAAACATCATTAGAAACATAAATTTGGAGGAGTCATGAATACAATATAAGCTAAAAGTAGTTTTTAAAATTATTTTAATGATTAATTCCCTCCATTAGTGTAAATAATTGACAATTTTATAGTAAAGTACTTTGAGTCATACTTGGGGTTTTTTATCTCATTTAATTAGTTTGAATACTTAAGGGTTTTTAAGAGAGATTATTTTGTTTCTGGCTTACATTTTTTCATTATAAAATCTATTCCTTGAAAAAAATTGTGAACATTTTCATACTTCTACTTTAAAAATGTTATTGACTTATAGTCTAGGATTGGTTTTTGAACTTCTGTGCTTTTATGTCTACTTCCTTTAAAATCACCTGAGAGTTTAAGATGACAACTGACTGAAATAGGCCTTTGAAATCTTAGTCTCCTATAGGATGAAGGCCAGATTTTGGGACTATTGTATCATAAAGACATTTTCAAAATGCACAGTACCTAAAGTTATCCTAGAGGCAGTAATTTTGAGTTTATGATGGCTGCCTTTGTGTTTGGAGAACAATGTCAGAACAAAAAAAAATCACCTTCAGATGGTGGTTCTTAGAATATCTGTCCATCTTTAGAACAGTTCTAACATTTATTTCTTACCTGCTGTCTTTTCTCTCTGTGTTGTAGCTTTGCATTATTTCATTTAGTACTTGAAAAAACTCAAGTAGCATTAAAAACAAAATTACTAATAAAGTGGTAAATAACATTTTCTTAACGCTCTTTTCCAACTACAGGAACATTTAAACTTACAATAGAATTCACTGAAGAATATCCGAATAAACCACCTACAGTTAGATTTATCTCTAAGATGTTTCATCCAAATGGCAAGTATCACTTTTAATATAGTATTTTAAGCTGCTACCATATTTATTATGCTGGTATTCATACTTATTTATTTATATGTAGTACTTGAGTTTTTGCTTAGACATCTTGCTGTTTCCAGAAATGTGAAACTTGTTCATAGTGATTGTTGCCATCTTTATACTATAGTTTTAGGACTGAAGCAATAAAGATACTTTCCCTCTGCTTGGATTCAAAGCCTCCTGATTTTGATGATCTCTGTCACTTATTAAACAAAAAAAAAAGTACAAACAACATTTTTTTTAATGCTGTGCTAGATTGTAGTAGTCATATGTTGTAATTATCTTCACTAGCATTTAGAACAATAGTTTTCAGCTTTGCATGTAGATCAGAATTCCCATGGAATGTTTAAAAATTACAGATGCCTTGATCCCATTCTAGACCTGCCAAGTATCAGATTCTGTTATTAAGGGCCATGCATACAGTATGTTAGAAAAGTGCTATAGCTGTATAAGATTCTAAATTTTGCTTTTTTCTGCTTTTAATATTTCAAATAGGAGATAGTTTACAAATTGGGTGCACTGAATTTCTCACAATTGTATGAACAGGGACCCTGTTAGAAAATATGTATAAAAAAAGGAAATGTGTATAATTTTCTGGAAAATATGGTAGGTCTTTTTAAAAAAAATGAGCACTAGGTATCCTCCCGTTATATACTAATCACATTTCATATTCTCTGATCATCCTGATTATTTGACTAGTAACAGTTATGATCTATCTATCTTTTTAGGCAAGTACTGGGAAGCAGTACTTTTTTTAAAAAGATACAAAGTATCTTAAAACTTCAAATGCGAAGTATTGTTGACTATTTTTGTTTTGACTGTATTAAAATCTTAGCAATCTTGTTTTTAATATACCTACTTCTGTGCTCTTTCAGTCTACGCAGATGGTAGTATATGTCTGGATATACTTCAGAACCGTTGGAGTCCAACTTATGATGTGTCTTCCATTTTAACATCCATACAGGTGAATTTTCCTTAATGTGACTCTGGCCTTTGATATATTTACATAAATGATTATTTTTAAAGTGGTAACTAAGAACTTCTTATTTTTAGTCAGAGTGTTTTACAGATAGAAAGTGGTAGACATTATGACTCTAACCACCAGAATACAACCCAACCCAGACACACACATTGTGTGTGTCTTTGCCTAGCCACTTGCACCTAATGTAACTGTAGGTTAGCATAGTTAGCATATTAGTTTAATAGGCTAAAGACAGCAAATTTAAACTGTTACTTACAATTCTGTTGTCACTACCTGATTAAATAGGTGTTTGTCCCAAACATGTATTTTTTGCATTGGAGACATGACATTTAAATATTTTTCTCTGTAGTCTCTATTGGATGAACCCAATCCCAATAGTCCAGCAAACAGCCAGGCTGCTCAGCTGTACCAGGAGAACAAGAGGGAATATGAAAAACGCGTTTCTGCAATCGTAGAACAGAGCTGGCGTGATTGTTGACCTCAGGTGGAGCAGAAGAAGCTGGCTATAAGAAAAATATGAATTGATGTGTTTATCACCTTCTTATTCCTCAATGTTATTACATTTACTTTATTAAAAGCAAAATAGCTGTTGTGCTGTTTCCATCTTCCCTTGACGAGTTTTTCCTACCCCTTCTACCCTCTTGTTAAACATCAAAAAACACCCTCTGAAATCAAATGTACTGTACCTGGGTTACTTGCAAAAATTACTAATGCTTAATATTTTGTTGTGTAGCTCATCTCAGCTTTCAGGCAATTGTGTTACTATACTTTACACTAAATTTTAAAAAATGAATGTTATACAGTGGTTCTTATGCATACTTTGATGACCAGGATATTATTTTTAACAAAATAATTTGCTAAAGTGTGTTTTGTCCTGGCCGGTTTTCCCTTGTGTGGCAATTAGAAGTGACTGTGTGGCCTGTAGAAAACCAGGAAACAAATCGATATAAACATCCATTTTGAAAAGGTAATGGAGGCTAAAAAATTTCATGATACTAATTCCTAAGCAATACAAATGGCAAGATGGTATTTATTGGTAGGAAAGGAGAATGTTAAAGGATCCAGCAAAGGGAGTACAGCAAGAGTAACTGAGAGTTTCAGAATACTGGTCTTTTGAGTTTTTTGATTTTTAAAGAGGTGTGGGAGCAAGGAATGGAAACAATCATCAGTTTTTGAGTTAGGGGAAGTGGAAGAGATCCTTTCATTCTTTGAAGTATTGCCTGAGATAAACTTACAATCTTTCATTAGTTTTAATGAAGGAAGGGAACATATCTGGCAAACTTTTTCATTCAAATCCTGAGTTACTGTTGCATGCTTTAGTTTCTTCTTCCCCTTCTGTGTTATGAACTTTAAATCCAACAATTACAGTCTTTCTTTGGCTATTTATACTTTTAGCTATACAGTGTGAGACAAAGCTTGTAAATGTTTTGTCTAATTTTCATTGTTGCCTTTATGCATTTATCGCTCTTCTAACTTTGCACAAGTAACCCATGTAAAAAATGTACATTTTTCAAAAGTTGTAAATAAAAATAACCTTAAAATTTTGTAGTTGAAGTATAATTACATGTTAGCTGAGTATGAACTTTTTGGGGGTTCTCATACCTACTCATCTTCCCCCTTTAAATTAAAAAATTTTAAAAGTTTTAAGGCAAAAATACTGTTGCTGGGAGTGGAAGAGAAGCTAGTAAATACTATTGGAGAGAACTTTTTTTAGACTATTTATGATTTTTTAAAAATTTTTCAGAGTATAAAATTATTAAGTTACTTCAGTATACCTTGTGACCAATCAAGGGAATGAAGTTGAGATAAGGAGAAAAGAAAAAACCTAGGTATTTATCAGTGTCCTCAAAGTCCAAGATTTGTTGATCCTGACATTCCACTTCCTAAGAAGCCCTATCTGAAGTGGTACCAGACTATGATTTAAAATAGTGTTTTCAGTCCTATGCAAAGTTTGTGAGTACAGGTATCCTCTATTATCTTGCTTAATTTTAACTTCTGAGGAGCAACCCATCTCAATTTGGTTTTTGTTTGTTTGGAGACGGTCTCACTATGCAGCCCAGACTGGCACTGAACTCAAGAAATCATGCTGCCTCAGCCTCCTAAATGCTGAGATTACAGGCATGTGCCACTATGCCCAGCTCCCATCTTAAAGAGAGCAAAATAAAGAAAATTCTCATGTCTTGGTACTTGGGACACCAAATAAAATGAAGATACTCCATTGTCCTTTTAAGACATGAGTGCTTAAGCCTCAACCAGAGGAGTGGGGGTTCAATCTGTAACCAATACCACATTAACTGGATTATTTTACCTCAAGTGCTTTTCTGCTTCAAAATAAATCCCCATTAATTGAGTCTTCCTTTGGTGGACTGTTCTACGTTAATTTTTTTTATCCTGCTGTGGTGGGGTACCTGAAATAGGACAATCATACTTGAAGAAATTTAGGATGAGACTGCCAATGGGCAGACCGGCTAACATTTTAGTTTGTACACCTCAAACTATTCCCAGCCTTTCTCCCAAAAGATCCCTTGTCAAAAGTGCCATTAACTATCCCCTGGAACTCTTAATGCTAATTGACTTTTTCCACTTTACAATGTTTAGCAAACCCCACAGGCTGCCTATAGTAATAACTAAGAAAACTAAGGCAGCCACCTTCAATTCTGTACCTGCTTATGTGGGAGAGGGGGTTCACTGAAGGCTCAAAGTTGTAACTTGAGACTCCTCTACTTAGGACCCATCTCAAACCCTGGAGTTTACTCAATAAAGTGAATGCATTGCTCCTAAAAAACTCCAACAGAATGAGTGAGATTTCCATTCATTCTGCAGTCAAAGGGAAGGGAAAAAAATGCAAAAAAAAATAGATCTCTGAGATTCAATGTTTTATATATGTATTTTCCATTTCTTTGAAATAGCAATCATTGTTTTAAAATTTTGTTTTGTTTTTTGAGACCAGGTCTCACTATATATTTCAGGCTGGCCTAGAATTCACCAGGCTGGCCTTGAACTTGGTGGCGGTCCTGCCTCAGCCTCCCGAGTCCATATATACATGTATATATATATATATATATATATATATATATATATGTATATACATATACAAATGTATATCTATGTATGTATATATACATATATATATGCACACATGTGTATATATGTATAAAATTGAAGAGTTCCTCAGTATAATAATTTAAATGATCCAAATAAAACTTGAAACTATTTGTATACTGTATAGGTTTTATAGTAGATTGCTAGGCTAAAAATGACTGCTGTCAGGTGCAACAGTGCATGCCTATGCTGTGGACTCGGGAGGCTGAGGCAGGACAGCCACCAATTTCAAGGCCAGCCTGGTGAATTCTAGGCCAGCCTGAAATATATAGTGAGACCTGGTCTCAAAAAACAAAAATAAAATTGTAAAACAATGATTGCTATTTCAAAGAAATGGAAAATACAGCGACCAAAAACAAAATAGAATAAAGTTTTTAGTAGTGCATTCTTGCCAACCCCATTTCTTAAAATCATTTTATTCTCAAGTAGTTAAGTGACTGCTCTAATTTTGCATCTACCACAGCTGATCTGTGAAGTTAGGGAACATGGCCCCCTCAAAATCAGAAACCAAATTTGTACATACCTGACCTAATTATTTGAGAACCTTAACTACATTCATCTTCTGTTGGGCTCATTTAAAGAAATCTGATTTATATGTAACATTTCCCTACCTTTCTTCTAAAAAACCCAATTTGGGAAGGAAAAACCAAAGAGAGAAACAAATACAGCTTTCACATCCCATGATTTTCAAAGCCACTGTTAAGAGAATCAAAGACAGGTTTTACTAACTCACTAAATCACAGCTTCCCAAGGTTGGTGATAACCCTTGTAGGCTAAAAACAAATTATAAAGCAGATGTGGTGGCACATGCCTGTAAATCACAGTACTTAGGACTGAGGCAGGAGAAACATCAAGTTCAGGGGTGAGCCTGGGCTACATAGCAAGCTGAAGGCCATCCTGGACTACATATAAAACCCTGTGTCAAACAAGGACACATACTGTTGGAAGAAAGTAAATACCACACACTCTGTCAGTCACTGTAAGTGCCTATGGGAGATCCAAGTATAAAGGCTAATCCTTTCATATTTTTAAAAGTCATTTAACTATAGAATCTTAGTGTAAAATATTTTTAAAAAGAAAATTACTACATATTGTGGGCTACTTATTCATCAAGCACAGTGCTTAGTGTTTAAGACACTACAAACATAATCATCTTCAACATTATTCCATTGATGTTTAACTATCACTATTAATATTCATCAGTGCTGTTACAGGTGAGTTTACACTTGTTTACCTGAGATACAAAACCAAAATCACGTAACAGTGATCAGCTCGATTTGAAGCTGGCATGTAGATGCACAGGAAAAAATGTGATGGGTAACTGATAACTATTTTTTCCCATCTCCTAAATCATTATGCTGATACACATGTGCTCTGGGGTTGAGATATTTTCTGCAAATACCACTTCCCTTCTCCAAACGCCCGAAGTGTTTCTACTAGGCTGCTGCCCAGAAATGAGCACACCACCATTTTGATTAACTTTGGCTCTTTTTTATTCAGGAAGCATACACTAATTCTTTTTATACACTTTCTTTTTACATTCCAGAAATAAGCGAAAATAGCGGTTTTAAATATGTTACAAAGTTGGCTTTGGGGGCTTAATAAGCTTTTTGAGAGAGGGACCAGCCAACTGACCTTTTTTCATCAAAGCACCAATGTATCTTCAGTCTTTTACCAAGCTCCACCACAGCTGTGGTTGCCCTGGATGTGCTGTGTATCCAAACTGTGTGAAAGCTACAAGGAAGAGTTGCTGTGAGTCTCTCTGCAAGGCACCAAGAACAAACAGTTCCAGCTTCCTTTCTTCAGGTTGAATCAAAGTTTTTGAAACTTTTCAACCGCTCTCTCAAGTAGTGCTCTCTCAGCATGAAGACTAGAATTTGTTAAAACCCATATATCACAAGATACAGTAAATCACTTCCAATATTCTGGAAATCACATGTAGAAGTTATAAATAAAAGAACACTAAAATTACTTTAAGAAAGTTTTACATCATTTAGTTGTAAGGACATTTACACATATAGTTTACTGTTAAACATTCTATACTGGCTTCACACAAAGATGAAAATAGATAATACAAAATGATCTGACGTTTTCAGTAGGTGTGGAATTAAAACTGTTGTTTTACTGAAGTCAATAGCGACTTTACATATTGTAGCAGATTGCTGTGCTATGCCCTTTAACATGAATTTCTTGGGGTGAAATTCCATTTGGATGTGTTCTTACTTGTATGAACCTCTAAAATCTGAGGGGCACAGCAATGTCAAAGACACAAACAGTGACTGCACAATATCATCTGCTGGATTAAGCTAATACAAGTGGATAGAATTCTTTAGCTTCCACTATCTAATAGAGCACTATATGAAATGGACAAGGTGAAACAGTTTAAGAATATACTCTGCAACCAGAACATGTAGCATTTAATAAATCTGCCTCATTAGGCATTTACAAAATAAATTAGTAAGATCTCAATTTGCTTGGGGCATAACAAGCTCATAATGCCCTACTTGGCCTTCCTGTTTGAGTTGATCTAGTAGATCTTCCTTCCGTCTTTTTCTGCCTACTACCAGGTACCTATCATGGCCCACCCCATGAGACTTACTCTTGAGCCCATACTTCTGAGCAATCTGATGTATTTGCTTCCGCTCATCATTCGTCAGCTCTGTAGAAAAAGTCAAATCTGTGTGGCTCTCTGAGCGGGCATAATTTCTGATGATCTGTTCAATATCTCTCTTGGCAATTTTATTGACCCTCTCTACATCAAGACCAAGCCCTTCCCGCTTATGCTGCTCTTTGACTGAGATAGGCTCCCGTATGCCCTCGCCAGATTTCCCTAAACCACCACCCGTCCAACCCATCTTTCTCAGTAGTTGATTTCCTATGTTATCTTCTCTGATTTGTTGTTTGTAAGCCTCTTCAGCAGAGCGTCCCTGGATTTCATTTCTTGAGATCACATCTTCAACAGTTCCTTTCTTCAAGTTGTTAATGACAGTTGGCTGGGTCTTTTTGAGGGTTTTCACAGCTTCCCCAGCAGCTTCATATTTGACTGTTTTCTTCACCCCAACTGCTTCTGCAATGACTTCACTCTCTAGGATCACCTTGCATTTCCAACGGAGGCCTGTCATCCTTTCATAGACATATTCAACTGTCATTCGGTTAAACTGAGCTGTGTCATTCAGTGTGCACACAGGATTGGAAGAGTTCTCATAAACTACAAGATCCTTTATATCTTTCTTTTTCCCAGATCCTCTGGGTGAAGAGCCTGAATGGCACTGTGAACTTTTGACAGATGGGTAAGTAGGTTGTGTTTTTTGAAGAATTTTCAAAGCCTCATCAGCAGCTGCATGTTTACTTGTTTTCTTGGTTCCATAACCTTCAGCTAAGCAATGATCTTGCAAAAACACTCGGCAACGCCATGTGCGATTTGGCATCATCTCATATTTGT